TTTTCCGTCTCCCGAACGTTCCGGAGGGAGCCAAAAAAAAAAAAAATCGGATTTAAATCCCTTTTTTGGATTTCAAAAAAAATCCTCTGCTCTCACCCCGGCTGGGAATTTGAGGCGGCTCCAGGAATTTCTCCATGCCCGAATTCCTGGATTTTTGGATCCAAATTTGGATCCAAATTTGGATCCAAAAGGGGGGGGAGGAATTTTTGGTTCCCTCCAGCCCGACCCCCACCAGCTGACATGCAATTAAAAAATAAAAATAATTAGGAAAAAACTCCTTTAAACACACTAAAAACGCTTTCACTCCCTCCCTGCTGACGTTCCATGGGAGAAATTCCCATTTTTTTTGTTTTTTTCCCCGGAGTTGTCGCACACCCAACGGGATTTTCCAGGATTTTTTTTTTGGGGATAGGGGATAAAAAAAAAAAAACAACCCCCCAAAAAAAAAATGTTTTTGGGGGGGAGGTTCAGTCTTGACTCCCCCTCCGTGGATCCTGGAAAAGGGAGCGGCAAAATTCCCGAAAATCCCAGACTTGGAGCGAAATCCTCATTCCCAGAGAGTGGAAAATCCTGGGAATTCCAGGGTGGGGACGAGCAGGGACTCAAACACTTCTTGGAAGTGGCTCCCGAGGAGGGGAAAATTGAGGGGGGGGGGAAAATGAAAAATAAATGAAGAATTGGCTTGGAAATTCTGCAAAAAAACCAAAAAAAAAAAATTGGGAATAAAAAAATCCCCCCCAGGCAGCGATTTGGGAATTTCCCAGCGGAATTCTGTGGGAAATTTTGAGTTCAGCTCTGCTGGGGCTGCCAGGAAAATGAAATAAAATTTTAAAAAATTTGGGAAAATTGGGGGAAAAAAAAGGGAGGAGCAGGGCGGGAAAATTGGGAATTCTCGGTGGCATGCAGGGCACGGAAAGATTTGGGAATTATTTTGGGTTTTTTTATCCGTTGAAATTTTGGGGTTTTTTCTTTTTTCCCCCCCTCTCTCGGACACTTCCAAGTCAAGAAACGGCGACACGGACGCGGCTCCCAGCTGGAAAAGCAAATTCCGGAATTCCCAGGGGCTGTGGAGAGGAAAAACAGGGAATTCAGCTGGGGAAAAAAAAAAAAAGGGGGAATTTGATGATTTTAATTGGTTTGAATTTCTTTTTATTTCTTTTATTTGAAATGGGTTGCTTTATTTTGGAGTTTGGTTTCATTTCAGTTTAATCGGTTTTAAATTGAAATTGTTTAATGGTGAATTAAAGGTAAATTAAATTTTGTTTGGTTTTTATTAAAGCAATTGAAATTGTTTAATGGTGAATTAAAGGTAAATTAAATTTTGTTTGGTTTTTATTAAAGCTAACAGTTTTTGATTAGAATAATCAATGATAATAATCATTAATTATAAGCAAATAATTATATATTTATATATATATTATACTTTATATATAATTAATTATTAATTAGAAGAAATAATCATTAATCACTTATTTCATTTAATAAACAAAAATCACGCATTTAACGACTTTAATAAAAAATCCATTATTTCTTTAATATTCTTGATTAATTAGAATAATTTCTTTATTAATTATCATAAGAAACCATCATTAGTCAATTATTTTATCTTCTAATAAAGAAGAGCCACCCATTTAACAGCTTTAATAAATTAAATACATTAAATATAATAAATATATAAAAGAAATTAGATATATTAAATATATTAAATAAATTAAATATATTAAATAAATTAAAGAAATTAAGATAAATTAATTAAATAAATTAAGATAAATTAATTAAATCAATAAAATTAAATAAAATAAACAAAATTAAACAAACAAATAAATTAAATCAATAAAATTAAATAAATTAAATCAAATAAATTAAACACAAATAAAATTAACTAACTAAATAAATTAATTATATTAAATACATTAAATAATATATTAAATAATATATAAATATATTAAAGAATTTTAATAAATCAAATAAACACATAAATAAAATCAATTAAATATATAAATATATTAAAAACATTATAGACATTAAATAAATTAAATAAATCACATAAACATAAATAAAATAAATAAATAAAATATATTAAATACATTATAAACATTAAATAAATTAAAGAAATCAAAGAAATTAAACACATAAATAAAATTAATTAGATAAATAAATTTGGGCTGGAATTCCCTCATTTTGCCTTTTCAGTGACATTAAAAAATTTTTTTAAAAACTTTCAAAAATCAAAGTTTAAAACATTTTTCTTGGAATGGGAATGAATTCATTGGAATTTTCTGGAATCCCGTGGGATCC